ACCGAAACTGCTATTGTGTGTAAATCTGCCAATGAAGCTGTGAGGGATTAAATTTTCCAAAATTCGATACCCCGGGATGACGAAATTTTTGCACTTCAGGTTGGCGCTTCCCAACTGGTGCCGAATGGTGCCAGTGCCAGACTAGACGTCATCCTTGTAATCAGAGCCATCGGTGTCCCGCACAAGAGGGCCTTCACAAAACATCGCTACAAAAGGTAGCACTCACAACTGACTCTGACTTACTGACTTGTTAACTAATTTTGATTGATAACTACTTCGGCAATAAAATTTTTGGTTCGATATAATTAAGTTATACCGTTCGTTATACTTAGTTGTTTTGGATCTTAACATTACTGTATGTTTTATAGAAAGACATATTTATGGGGCTGAAATCAAAGAGTACTTCAGTCTCCGTTTCAAGTTCACGTAGAGGATCTGAGCTCCACACTTGTAAAGAACCTTGCAGGCTCTATTGACTGAATTAGGTCAAAATTTTATGGGTACTTCAAAACTTCACCGGTCAGCGCCAGAAAACTCACACGGTTCCTCCACGCCAACGTTCGCTGCACAGCCATCATTTCGGGCGAGGTTGACGATAGCTTTGGATCGAACGCTTTGCCGTCGGAAGCAGCGGAATCGGCAAACACGTACACCACAGACGCCGGATGCATCAGGGACGAGCTGAACGAAGCATGCTACAGCAGGGCTTGCAGAAAACGATCGCAGCTGATTCAGTTCTGAATCAAGGTGTTCTGCTCACGGAAGTGCTGTGGAACAGTAACAATATGAGTAAACAGCATACAGTTATACTTGTTTGATATAGTTTGCAACCAGTCCCTTCGAAAACTGGGGTGAACTGCGGGCATTGCAAAAATGAAAACAAAACACTCATAACTGCTTTCACTTTACTTCGAAGGAGATTTCCACGATACGAACGAAGGTCGAAGTAGGGGAAATCTTGAGGGTGCGGACTGACACGCAATTGGCAGCGAAAGATTTGACCTCGGCGATCTAGCATGGCTCACTCTTGGCGCGGTTGGCGGGGTACGCCCACCGACTATCCGCCGCAGGTCTATACGTGGCGAGTGATTAGATAGCAGAGAGAGCGTAGTGTTGAAGAGGGCACAGCGATGAGAGTCGCATCAATGCGCCAGTCAATGCGGGCAGCAAAGGAAGGGATCCATTTCTCGAGTTTTGGGCCGTGTCTCAAGCTTTTTCTTACTTCTTAATGCTCACCATCCTCAAAGGAACAAGCCAAGCAGAAAATCATGTAAACGCGTCCCTTCGGTGGTAGTACGGACCCTAGAGGACAACCACAAATGTAGCGTTAGGAAACCGACCGACAAGAGCGCCTGGGCCTTGCAAAGCGAGTTTTTCTTTTCTTGTCACGCTGTTGTCCGCCGCTCCCTCACTTTGGCGCTCTCTCGCCTCATACCTCGCGCGCTAGCTCTGATTCCCATTAGCCGACTACGCAAGGTGAGCGGCTGTGCTAAGGGGCCTGCAGCCTAGAACGTTTCGACGGGATTCTTTTCCCTTTTTCTTCAACGTCGCCCCCTTTGCCCCGCGTGTGCGCAGAGCAGACACCATGTTATCCTGGGGCCTGCTTTAACATGCGCACCGCGTGCGCCACCATGGTGGCCATCCCCCTTACCCGTTCCCGATCCACCGACCTTCACCACTACAGCTGTTTCTATACTGTTTGATCGGCACCACTTGACACTGTCCAAACTTTGCTCACTTTTCTTCCTCCGAAACGCCGTCGAAAATTTTTTTCTAATTTTTGCCTCATTTATAAGTTTTTCCCCAAGTCTCCCACAAACTCTTGAACGCAACCCTTCTCTGCCTACCGCAGACCCCCTTTACTCCAAAAATGCGACCGCCCACCTTCCTCAACTCTTGACCTTCACCCAGCCACAACATGACCCCTTCCGAGAAAAAAGAAACGACTGTCCTCGCTAAGATAGCGCTGGCCCCTCTCAACAACACTGACCCCACCCACAAAACAACGCTATTTCGCTTTGCCGCTGCTAAAGAAAGAACTTCATTTTTGCACTTGCCAAGATTCCTCCCATTCTTTATTATTGACATTACACTTCACAATGTCACCTACAAACGTAATGCCACACTATTTGACCGATCGCGTCTTAAAGGAATCTTCCACGGACCATGGACCAGTGGGCGGGACCGGAAGTTTTTGTGACGAAATGCATGGTAGGTACGGATCCACGTGTCGAACGCACGAACGTGAACAGGATTCACTTCAAACCTTCCCATGAACGTGGATCCGTACCTACCATGCATTTCGTCGCAAAACCACTTCCGGTCCCGCCCACTGGTCCATGGTCCGTGGAAGATTCCTTAAACACATCCGGCGATTATTTATTTATTCATACGCTATGTAAGACAGCGTAGAGAATAAAAAAATAAATAAATAAATAAATAAATAAATAAATAAATAAATAAATAAATAAATAAATAAATAAATAAATAAATAAATAAATAAATAAATAATAATTGAGGCGCGGGTTCTCTGTCTCCGAGTGCGAAAGCGTTCCTGTTACTGGTAAAGCAGCCATGGAAGAAACAAAAATTCTAAGAGCTATTGAAGTCACTCATATAGGTATGTTTTCAGCAGAAAGCGGTTTGATGTGGCTCTGTCGCTTATAAGATGCGCGAAGTTCGCCTGAGGTGGTACGGTCACGTCCTTTGCGCGAAAGATGACAGTGTCCATAAGATCGGCGTAGACTTAAACGTGCCAGGAGCAGGGTCGGTCCATAATCGTTGCTACTTTTCGAAAAGTTTTTACGACCCCCCTCCTTCAAAAAGTTTCCTACGACCCCCCCCCTACAAACTCACCAAAATACGACCCCCCGTTGCTACTTGTAGCAACATAGGGTTGACCCTGGCCCAGGAAAGCGGCCAATAGGACGCCCGAAGCAACGATGGCTTGATACGTTGCATGAGGATTTGAAATTAGTTGGCCTTCACCCCGATCAGGCACATAATCGGGAAAAGTGGCGTCGTAATACCAGGAAAGCGGACCCCGCCACAGGGTGGGACAAACGCTAAAGAATAGGAAGAAGATCAACTTTGAAGCGAGTTCACTCGAAATCGAAAAGGAATGGTGGTAAGGGCTACATTGTGGGTCAAGCTGGATTTTCACATGACTTCAGCTCTTCATAGAGTGTCAAAAGAGAAAATCTTGGCTATAACATCACGAGCCTTTGAAAAGTGGGGAGGGGGCAAAAAAGTAACGCTTGTTGAACTCATTAGCGAACTCACTACGACTGTGCACTGCTGATGGCAGAAATTGTAGGTGTCCGATGTCGCCAGCCGCAGCATGAACACGCCGTGATGAGGTAATCCGAGCAGAGCATGCGGCTGAGGTGAAGAACTCTCGCTCTTCATGTTCGTAACGTGACTTCTGGAAAAACAATTGCAGTACTGCCTGCCATGTCGCACTATGAAGCTGCTGTGAAAACCACAAGCTCCGAAATCACCATGCAAACTTTACTTCCCATTCGCGAGCTTGTTGCCAACCTCTCAGGGTATTCGTCAGCATTTCTCCCAGCACTTCCCTCCACCCACTCTCACTCTCCACCTTTCACCTCGACTCGACGCCATACTTTCATCAGAGACAGATCACATCCCAGAGCGCACTAATAGTCATCACGCAGACTGCTCTTCTCTGATAAGCAGCATTTGGTTGCTCCATAAGTAGGGTAGTTTTATCCTAACGAAATTTTCTACTAATATCCCAAGTTTTACATCGAGCTATATACAATTCGAAAAAGAATTGTCTGCTCTACAAAACTTCATGTTTTGCTTTCACATACGTTGCAGATTCCTTCAAATTTTAAAGCAACAGTCCCAGCAGGGTGGGCGTGGTCGAAACGGCTGCAATCCCCTCGGCCGCTAGTCGCGACACGACCACTCAGCTTCCGCGCTCGCCTAGCGGCTTTCCTAGGTGAGTTTTTGTTCAGTCACACTTCCTACGCTCTCGACTAGAGGCTGAACAGCTCCGAAGTGGAAATCGGCCGGAGGGAATGCAGCCGTTTCCGACCACGCCCACCCTGCTGGGACTGTTGCTTTGAGCTTGCGATGTGGGAGGTCCTGTCGACGAAAATTAGCCAGGACGACAGCTAATTCTAACTCTATTTCCCTTTGGACAATCAGCGATGTGCCCTTCACTTATTTCACGACCTCTTTTGAAGATATCGCCATAAGATCTTCCACCAGGTCACGTCTCTCCTTTTCCTGATTTTGTTTTTTGCGCCAGAACTCGACGGTTGAAGCGCCATCCTTTCTAAATTTGAACATAAAAATTTTACATCCGAGGCACTGAAAAGCCAGTAGAAAACATGCCATGAATAATTTTGTGAAATGTGTGCTTGATTGGTTTTTCATCTTCTCGGGAAACTTTTTTCGAAGCAATGTGGTTATTTTCGTGAACGGAACACCTTATCACGTGAGCCAGAAATTCGACCTAATTCAATTCCAAAATGAAGCGTATGCTCGGATAGAGCATAAAGATGCTCACAAAAGATATTTCGCTCTACGTAAAAGATTGATAGTTCAGTTTCAGAGGAAAAGTTTCACTTTCCCAGTCGTTATGGTTTGGCGGACAATTAGAACAACCAATTTCGAAAAGAAATGCGAGCAACGACTCTCCGCCCAACGCTAACCAGCGCGCAAACGTCCTCACTGAGAAGTCATGACTAATCGAGAATCAATTTCTTCTAGAAAGATAAAGTGTTAGAGCTAGTAGTTCGACGAATTCCGTCCATTGAATCTCCCATTTCTCAGGCTTAGCATTAAAAAACTCTGCATAGTATTGGAGAGACAAATATGTGGCCTTCTGTAAGCAGAAAATGTCTCTCTGAAATGGTGTCCTAAAGGTAAAAAAGGGGACAATTACGAGAAAATTTTCTTTTCGAATAAAAACGACACTAATTGTGGGACATCCCAATGGATAAGATAGCAGTTGACAATTCTCAGTCATACTCAGCCAATCAGCCCGTCCTTCTTCGTTTTTGATTTGGTAAAAATATACTTGAAATGCGTACTGTATTGCAAATAAGTGGTGACGATGAAATTGTCGATCAAACCGGGAGCAGCCTTGCCGATATCGCTTATCCAGGTGGGCAGCTGAAAGAGTGTGTGTTGAGGGCCGTTTGCCGTCACAATTCCCATTACCTGTTCTATCAACTGATGAAGATCGTAGCCCATGCTGGAGCGCAAGCTGAGCACAAGGATGAACGATTGACGAGATGTGTCCAGATTGGACTGCACGCTTGGCATACATCCTCCTGCAAAAGACCAAATCTTCTTTTGTGCTCGAAAAATAAAAGAGTACCTGATATTCAAGTATTTTCACCTCTGACAGCTAGTGTCAAAGTTCAAACATTGCTGAGAATAACTGTCAAAATGTTGCTTTTTTCATCAGTGGTATCTCTTTTCCCGACGCCACACCACACTGCTCATACCAGCGAGTTTGGATGATTTTTGTGCAAGATCGACAAAAAAAAAAGCAAAAGATTGGAATAAAATTTGTTCCCTCGAATAATCTGCGAGAACAAAATAGGGACTCACTTGATTCACAATTCAGTGCATAAAAGCCTGGTGGACAGGTACACCTGCCCTTGTCAAGAATCCCGGAGTTCTGGCACCTGAATTATTGCAGCCTCTTGTAACATGTAGGATATACAGGATTCTGGGGCACATCCCACGACTCCACTTTTGAACTCCAAATTGTGGGATGTGCCCTAGAATATCGCAGTGAAGTTCAATAGAGGCGAGTGATTAAAAACCAGGAGTTGTCGAAAAGACCCCCTATAGGACCTTTTGTGCAGTTCGTTTGGGTGAATATGTAGTTCGGGGGGCCACCCTATCTAATCGAAGTGGAGTTGCGGAAAGACACTCATATCTAATCAAAGTAGAGTTGCGGGAAGGCACTTATATCTTATCATATCTTTCACTGAGACCGTGGCCTACGACTAGTACGTCACACTTGTCATATTATTCTATGGCTAAAATGGCTGCCACCTTGCTGACTCTTCACTTTCACCAACCCTTCTTGCGACTGCCATGCAAGCCCTTGAAAAAGGGCCTTTCAGGTATCCGATTTTGTATGGAATCCCGGGTTGGTATCCATATCTAATCGTGCACTCAGAGCCTGTGCTCTGAATGTTGATTAGATATGACCGCCCTTCCGCAACTCCACTTGATTGCCACTTCGATTAGATATTCTGAGTGCCCCCCCCCCCCGAACTACATTTTCACCGTTCCTTTCAAGCATTGCACGAGCTCGAAGAAGGAGCGAGGAAATACTGAGCGCCAGGTCCAGGAACCAACCGACAAGGGGAACGATGCACGAGGCGTCAGTCCAGCGAAGCCGCGGCAGAGGGGTGACCCCAACTGGCCTCATTGTCAGAATCAAAAACTTTGAAACCGCCATGGTGGTGAGGGTGGTGATCGGTGTAGGGAAAAGGGGTGTCGCGGTCTCATAGGACTCAAGGTGGTGATGTGGGGTCACGACGAGGCCCGCGAAAAAAATATTTGGAAAAGCGCTAACGCGATTGTTGACCCTGGAGGGATGGATTCGCGGCAGCGAGATTTGCTTTAAGAAACTTTTCATTCCAACTGAATCGCAGACGGGATTCCTTCAATCATTCATTCATCGGATCTGACTCTAATTGCGGAAATACGAGAGGAAAGCTTCACATATTGGACTGCATGACAACTTTTGTAACAGAAGAAGTTGTTGGTTGGGATGACCTGGTGCTTGAAATAGACCCCATAACTT